CTATAGTGCTTAAACGGTTCAATATACAAAACCCAAAATTTCAACTAAATATATTTGCGCATATTTTAGCCCAAAAATTATTTTTTTTTATAATTACAAAATTTTAAGCATGGCCGCCATCTTGATTTTTTAAATAGCAACATAGGTCATGTGATATACCATTTGAAAGGGTTTAACATCCTGATTACAAAAATGTATCACACATGGGGTCTAACACAACAGAAAGGATATTATTAATAGGGAGCGTAGTAGGCTGTGCATTTGTGTTTAGACCCCATGTGTGGTACATTTTTGTAATCAGGATGTTAAACCCTTTTAAATGGTATATCACATGACCTATGTTGCTATTTAAAAAATCCAGATGTCGGCCATGCTTAAAATTTTGTAATTATAAAAAAAATAGTTTTTGGGCTAAAATATGCGCAAATACATTTAGTTGAAATTCTGAAATTTTGGGTTTTGTATGTTGAACCGTTTAAGCACTATAGATTTGGTTCCATCTTTAACAGCTACCCTGTATATTCAATTTTGTTTATCATATAACTTTATTATTTTGGACAATTTTGGAAATCCCAGTATTTTAAAATTACCCCTACCGAGTAGGATTCGAATCTTATATTCAAATTAACAACTCGGAAACTGGACATATAATGTCCGGATAGCAAAGTTCGTAAAGACAATGTGTGTAAAACAAGAATAGGTGGGTTCGAATCACAGCCGGTCACAAATTTTTATCAATTTTTAATTAACCTTGTTCTCTCTTTGGAATTCAAAAATAGTATTATTTCGTGGACGTATTTTTGAAATGTATGTTTGGAGACTTCAAAAGGAATTTATATACATTTGTTTTCGCATCATTAACCGATAATTTGTCGGAACTTTTGACCGATTTTCTCTCAATTATTTTGGAGTTTGTACTAATGACTCGATACAATCAAAAATGATTGAACAATACATCATTACGAGAAATTTTCAAAATGACCATTGTTGAATATAGGTATAAAAAGAAATATTTGTTTAATACCCAACACCATGATATTAGAAGCAATAGAAAGAAAAAGTTTGTGATTTACTTAATTATAGTAATTAAATAAAAAGCATAGACAGTTTATGTATCTAGTGGTTTTTGATGATTTGTTCATTGTAGAAACTATAATATAATTTTGCTTCAAGACAAATAAGTAATATTTCAATTTTGAACGATCCTTAAAAAATATAACTATTTCTCTGTCTTTATTCGTATTCAAAACATTACTTCAGTAAACAAATAAAATGTTTAAAAATAATTAAATATTTAAAATAGTTGTCATGTAATTTGTTTTGTATTAAATTTGTTATTGCCTTTTTAAAGTTTAAACATTCATGTAACTAGGTTGTTTATTTTTATTAAACATTATTCAAACTAGGATAGTATTTTGTATTACCGTGTTAAATAATTTTTTGTAAATTCGCTATACAGGGTGATAATCAAAGTTTGTCGCCCCAAAATATTCGAATTTCAAACAAGTTACCCAGGATTATGTGAAGAAACTACGATACATATCTTTAGCAAATAACAATAATATTAATAATAATAATAATGGACTTTATTTTTTCTACATCCATAATAATAAAAATACAGTAATTTAACAATTAATTGAGATAGGGTCTAAGAAAAAGCCGAGAATCAGGTGGATGTGTCATATGTTTCAAAGAAACATAGATACAACCTCTGTTTTCATCTTAAGCTGTATTAAAAAGAAAACTAAAAACTCATGTTAGTAGTTTGCAATATAATTTTGAAATTATAAAATCATGAGAGCCAGTGATAATAATAATAAAAAAGAAGCTATATAACATAACATTAATATTATATACCAGAGAGTAAATTTAATTTGTGCTTTTTTAAATGATTGGATTGATTTATTTTTTATAGATATTAGTAGATTATTATATATTGTAGACACCTGTTACGTAAAGAAGCAGTTGAATATTTCAGTGCGATGTTTGGGTGTAGTTATATCGTGTTTGCAGCGAGTGTTTCGTTTATGTATGGTTGACTGAATGAATCTTATTAAAAAGGTATGTCGGTTGTTTTTTCAATAATATTTTGTGAAGGAGATACGACAAGTGCAGATTATGCCTTTTACTCATGTTGAGCTATCCATGATTTTTTAATTGGCATGCACCAATTTTACACAACTTGCACCCTCCTAATATCCGCCCAGTCGATAAAGATAAACAAACCATAGATGCAATCACCATAGTTAAATTTTGACAGAACCATTGCTTCACATAATATATTTTTTATTGAAATAACCTCACTGGCACTACCATCAAAAAAAAATATCGAATATCTCGGAATATCTACCTACTAGATCTACATAAAGAAAGCTTTCTCTAACATTTGGTTTCAAGGTGAATATTACTGAAACCCAAAGTATGGCCAACGCCAACACTGATTAAGTATCACGCTACCGATTTGATATTGACATATTAAAATTATTAATAACCAACTGCATTTTTTTTAATTATTTAAAATAAATAAATCAAAAGTTAACCTGGTGAAGCGAAAATATTTATTTTCATTGGGACCTGTGATTAAATGATGTTTTAGGTTAACAAGTGTTTCTTTTGCAATCATGTATTAAATAATAATAAAAATTTAATTTTTCTCTATTACTCAAATAGACGTTTACTATAGATGTTATTTTAAATAAAAGTACAATGAATGGAAAAGACTTTATTTATTGTTATGTACCTCAATACTTCAAAAACACTAGTAAAAATATGAGTAATAAAAAGTAGTATTTTGTGCAATAAGAGTGGATATGGACAATCCACTTGAGCTGTACAGTATATATAAATTTTATGGCTCTCAGTTTTAAATTGGTCTTTCCTGGTTAAATACATAACAGAATCACATCAAAGGCCCAGAATAAAGAGAAAGTAATAGAAAAAAGGGTAGATACCGGCTTCAAATAAATCCAGACCGTTACTTTTCTATATTTCAATTTTTTATCTAAAAAAATAATAGCCTGATGACCAAATATGAACTGTGATTAGTGGATTTCATATTTGTGCAGCGTTCTTACTACATACAATGGATATGAGATATATTCGTACAATAGATCATATTTATGTGAGTGTAGAATAGTAGTTTGTGCAACAAGAGTGGATATGATGGCCATATCGCACGAAAACGAAACTAGAACACGACGCCGTAGGCGTCTGAGTGCAATGTGGACAATCCACTCGAATTGTACAGTATATTTTTTCTACAACCCACTAACGAAAATTTACAAATAAAAAAATATTTTAGGTCATTAAAACAAAATAACTAATTTTAACATAATTTATGACTGTTAATAATTTTTAAAATAAAATAAACAAAAAAGAAAAAAGTTCATTTCATTTTTTCCCTTCCGAGAATCGAACTCCACTCTTTTATGTGAAAGGCAAGGACGCTAACCACAGGACCATCTAATCTTTAATTTTTGTTGCTTTAATACTCGTAATTAAATTGACTTCAATAGTTTTATTCAAATTAACAAATTATTTATAATTATAGACGATTTAAAAACAGAAATGCTATTCTTTATCGATTCTATACAATAATAACCCATTTTAATGTATGTTTAATCTCAATAACTAAAAAATATACCTACTGACAATAAATTTGACAGAATTGTCACTTATTTAAAATTTTAAAAATAATAGCAGTTGGTTGATCATAATATGAACGGTGATTGATGAATTTCATTTTTTGCAGTGTTTTCACTACCTAGAATGGATATGAAATATATTCGTTTAGTTGAAGGCAAAAGCATACTTTTTCGTTTTATAATCTGTGCATAGAAAAGCTTTTATACATGTGGGTGTAGAAAAAATAATTATAGAGAATATCTACTAATTACTAAATGAGAATATAACTTGGATTATAATTGTGGAAGAAGTATGTATTTTTCCTCTAAAGACACGATACAAAGCAAAATATACAATAGTAGTTTGTGCAAGGAGTAAGCAAAGCGACACTTTTCCCATGAGCGTAAAAGTTTATGGCACAAAACCTTAGACGAGTGTTGCAAATCAAGCGAATGTAAAAGGGATTAGCGCACTAATTGCACACTATATTTTCCTATATTAATAGTAATATTTTGACAACGTTTCATTTACATAGACACACATATTGTGTGTAATCAACTTAATTTATAAAAATAATTTAATGACAGGTCTTCTATTTTTTTTTTTTTATTTTAAATAAGTTACAATTCTGTCAAATTAATTTTCAGTATATCTTTTTATTTTTTAATATTAAATAAAATTAAAAATGATTGATTCTTAGAAGAGTCGATAAATAAAGGCAATTTACTAGATATTCGTTTATGTTTACAAAGAAACCGTGAATTTTAATAAAATCATCTAAAACCAATTGAATTATAAGGTTTTATCCATAAAGATTGTAATGTGTGCAAGCGCAACAGTTTGAGTGAAACCTTTCCATTATAAGGATTGGGGTTCAAAACCCCAGATTTATTTTGTTAGCAAAATTCATAATTAGTAATCTTTAAAATTGTTATTTTATCTTTTATATCAATTTTTAAAATTTTGTAGATTTTCGTTAAAGGATCGTAGAAAAAATATACTGTACAACTCGAATGGATGATCAATATTGCAACTTCGTGCGATATGGCCATTATTATTCACTTTTATAAGACAAATAATGTTTCACTTACCTATAAGCTGTATTAAGATGATATTCTTGATAAATAAATATTTAATATGGATATGGATACTAGATTTTGATCTGTTAAATGGACGAAGCGAAACACTAACATATATATTTTTCGTACCTATGTTCTAAGCAGAAAAAATTCATAGTTCTTATTGGTATATTTTTTTAAATAATCATCAACCTTTCAGGATCCACTACTATTTTCAACAAATATTTATTGCATTTTTAAAAATGAGTATAATATATTTTCTTCTTTGTTACAGGTTACCCATTCGGGTAAAAAATAATGGGACTTTATAAACAGTACTTCAGGCTAACTCGATATGCGAAAAATCAATTCATTGGCGTTAGTCCGCAAAAAAATGGACAAGATGGAGTTCCACTTCAAATGCTCGTCTCACAAAACTTTAGTCACAGTAAGTAATTGTTTAAAATGTCTTTTTTCTAGTTATTTTTATGCAGAATATCGTCTATAAAAAAATTAAACATAACAATTACATAAAACTTTGATTTGGCCATTTAAGTTAAGGTTACAAGACTATTCCTTCATCTAGAAGTCGTAAGACTACCATATGGTTACACACTCTTTGTTTGAATCATAGATTTCACATTAGCTTTCTGCTGCTCACTGGAGAGCCCCTACTGGGCGAAGTGGGTTCTATGTAGAGAAATTTGATCCCCAACACATGTATAATGCTTATAATTTAATATATAGAGGGGCATATATCCATGGGAGAAGTTGCTTAGAGTTATATAGTCCTTACATGCATTCTCATGGTATTTTTATTTTGAAAATGCTAAGGTATCACCTTGTACTTTTTTTTTAAACTGAATTGTCTGCAAGCATTTCTTGTTCTTAAAGTTTCTAATTTCAATGAAATAATTTACAAATAGAATTAGTTCATATCGTATGTGTTCGATTAAACATATTTAAATAACAACTTTCCTGAGCGCTGGATTGGTCGTGGTAGCCATTTCCCTTGGCCAGAACGTAGTTCAGACTTAAATTTTCTCGATTTCGGTGTATGGGGTGCAATGAAACAACTTGTCTATAAAGATTCTATAAATACGGGCTACCAACTTTGAGAATAAATAAATAAATAGAGCAGCAAGTTCTTTTGACCCAATGATGTTGTTTAATATGAGACAATTTTTTATGGAACGTGTAGATAAATGCATCGATGTGATTAAAGGATATATCAAACATTTAGTGTGACACAATTTAAGTTATAATGTTATTTAGCTTAGTTTTCTAAATAAAATGTATTTTTATTAATAATCATGCAGCTGATGCCTAAAATGCGATTATAAAGTAAACACTCTATTAAAATAATGTGGCTTTAAAATTATTTTACAAGAATAGCGCTAACTTGAACACCAAAAAAGTTTTGTACACATTTATGTCACAAATAAGGCCTATGCAGCGCCCTCTACAAATTGCATCGAATTTTTTTTTTTTTGAGTATTGTTACTATTCATTATTGACTAAAGTACAATATTTAAAAAATAAACTAATTGGTATTCTAAGAAATCCCCAGAAGTCCTAATTGTTTCTATAGGAAAGCATCACAAGTTGGGGCGACGATTTATTGCAACTGTTTTACACTAGCACTAACATTAATGTTCACTGCTGGGTTCTATAGTTTATTTTTATGTATGAGAGAGTATTAAAATAATAAAGCGTTCGTAATCCATAGGCGTACCACTTCTTTTAGTAGACAGTTAAAATATTTTTTGAAGTTATTCCTCGAGTATACACTTATATTTTCACCTAATTAACCTGCTTATAACTTCTAAACAGCTGAAGGTAAAAAAGTGCAATTTTTTCTAAAATGTTTTATTTTTCCACAAGGTATGTTAAGAACATTGTGTCAAACGGGTTATGTAGGTATAACGGTTTAAACTTTGACTTTTAAAGAACGTTACGTTCATAAATAATAATTTTAATATAAAAACTACTTCTTACCTACTAATCCAAATCAGAATCGAAATCAGAAGATGAACTGTCGCAACCAATATTCACAATGAGTGGCTCGATCATTTCATCAGTAATATTGTCCAACTTCCACATTTTCTCTTCTTCTTTAATCGTATGATTTACTGCCTTTTCCCAGTTTTCAGGCTTCACATTATTTACATCCTCCAAAAACCACTGTTTAACATCACTCATTTTAAAAGAATTATTTTTTCTTGAAACTTCTCCCTTTATCTGTGCCCATATCAGTTCAATCGGGTTTACTTCGCAATGATATGGTGGTGATCTAACCACCGTCATCCCAAGATTTTTTGCAATTTCATCAATTTCATATTTTTTGAATTTCTCTTTATGAAGGGAACACAAATGATACAGTTCTTTTCTCACAGAACCGGGATGGAACTTAATATTTTTTGAATTTAGCCAATTCTGTAAATCTTTTTTTAACCACTTGGTTGTGGGCATTTTTTCTATAAGTCTCGAGTGATAACTTGCATTATTCATTACTATTATACAGTTCTGAGGAAGAAGATCTATAATTTGTTCGAACCATTCTTTAAAGACATCAGCATTCATGTCCTCATGGTAGTCACCGGTACGAGTAGATTAAAAAGTCAATAAACCACCTTTAACAAAACCGTTTGAACTACCGATGTGTACTATTATTAGTCTGCGCCTCTTTCCCGATGGTGGATTTAAACCAGTAGATAAATTATTTTAAAAAGCCTGTCTTCGACTTGTAACAGTTTCATCTTGCCAAAATTTATTTGGTATATGTCCCTCGTTGATCCATGTTTCATCTAAATAAAATATATTTATTCTTTGGTTTCTCATTTCTTTTATAGTCCTTAGGTAATTTCTTCTCCATACTACAATATCACTTCTTTCTATTTGGAATGCTTTTTCCATAGAAAACCTATTTCTTTTAAAAGTTTCCATAGTGTGCTTCGACTCATTTCAGGGTAATCCTTATCATCTCGAACCGTGGCAAGAACTTTGTCTACTGTCGGAAATTCTTTTCTAAAGAAGAACGCATGCACTTTCCTTCGAAGTCTTTCTTTCAAAAGATTTTCTAATTGAAATTTTGGTTTTCCTGGAGCTTTACGTGCTGTTTGAAACTCGCCACATTTCTCTTCTTTAACAACTCTGTATATCGTAGATTTCCCAATACCAAGCGTACTACTAACTAATTCCACTGTGTCATCAACACTTTTACATAAATATTTGTCTGTAAATGATTTAAAACAATTAAATATTAATGTTTTTTTATTAACTGTTAAAGGACCGATTTTTTGTCGTTTACGCGGCCCTTCCAAATTTTCTATGATCACACTAGAATTCACACTGCACCTTGCAAGTTGCAACGATATTTAGTAAACTGTCAAGAATACACAACTTGGACCTCCTTACTAAATGGAAAACCTATAATCGCATTTTCGGTGAAATTTGTTGGGAAGGTATTTATCTACTTATAATTCGATTACTGTAAGAAATTCTTGGAATTAAAATAAAACAAAATTGGCAAATAGGTACTTATTGAAAATAATCTTAAGATATGGCTATGTAATCTTTAATTCACAGGGCTTTTGGCCTGTCCAAACCTTTTTCTATTGTTCTGTACAGCTTATGTTTATAAAGGACCAATAAAAGACCCAAAACTTGTAATAGCTCAGGTACATTTATTACAATTTTAGGAAATATTTAGATTATTCTGTAAAAATATTTAAAATGACCGTACTAAGTTTTGCATTAGAAATGCTGTTTTATTACTCTCTCATACATAAAAATAAACTATAATTAACAGTGCTATTCCTGAAGTGGCACTAGGAAACAATAACAAAGCGTAGATAGAACACACATGATTAAGAATTCAAACATAAAACTGAGACTGGCATATTAGGTACATACGCCTAGCCATAAATCGAAAACTTACAATAATTTAAATTTAACTATTCTTACACGCGGTTCATTTTATTCTGTTAAAGATTTTTTGTCTGAACACAGTTTTCTTTAAAAAGTAGATTGATTTATGGTTAGTTATTAGTTTTAACGTATGTGTATTCAGTGTAATGTACAGTCTTTGAGTAGCTTTATTTAATAAAATTTTGTCTTTTGGTTATCTTATCATTTGCCATTTATTTCTTAGTTTTTTTTCTGCTACCAGTTCTTTTATCTCGACAGGTTAGTTTTTTTTTTAGTTAAAAATCTTCCCAATTAGTTTTCCGATTTGTTAAGGTCGGCTTTGTTTCTTTTTAAATAAATCCATATTAAAGTTTTCTTCTACGCGTATATACTTTGGTGCAATTATTCTCAAAATAAAGAATTCCCAAAGATCTGGAATATTATTTGTGTCGGTGGGCCAAAAGGTGGGTTTTTCAGAAGATTGGTATGTACAACCAAGTTCTGATGCAACTCGGTGCAATTTTTTTCTTTTAACTATGATTAGTCTTGGATCCCAGATGGTATTTTTAATTAACTAGTATTTTATTTTATTAACGCAAGTTGGTTCAAATCGTAATATTTTAAAGTGAAAAATCTACCATATTTGCAAATTTTTAGAAATATAAATATTAAATGTTCTGATGTCTTCAAATCTCTTGTTCATTTATTCATGTAGCGCCCCACTGTCTGAAAACGGTGATACAGTGATTGTCCGGTGCATTATTTTAAATTAAAACAAAAATCCGGATATGAGAAACCAGTTAGCAAAAGACATCAGTCAATATCTTAATCTAAACTATCAAATTATTGATAGACAGGCGTAACAAAATCAATATATTTTCTTTGATATTTTTAATCTTACATAATAAGTTGATTATAGCTCGGATTAGATACCTTATAGTTTCTGTATTAAAAAAAAAAAAAATCTTTATTCCAGTAAGACCATTGCTACACGGTATTGGAAAAGTCAGTTTTACAAAGTGTTTTACAAAGAATGTATATAATTTAGGCAAGTAAACATAAAAAAGAATATATATATAAAATAAACAGAGCATATATCACGTAACAAATAAAAATAAATAATATTACACAGACCGAGTGGAGCCATACTTATTTAGTTAAAATTGTAGTACTCATCTACATTATAAAAACAATTCTCTAACAAGAATTCCTTAAGTTTTTTCTTAAAAGAATTAAAAATTTGTTCATCTTTTATTGACTGGGGCAATTTATTATATAATTGTATGCCAGCATATGACGGACATTTTTGATAGAACGCTGTTCTATGATTCGGAATTCGTAACAAATTACCATGCCTGGTTTGGTAGTTATGATTATCTAAATTTTTACTAAATTCATTAATTTTTTTCCTAATATATATTATGCATTTATAAATGTAAATAGAAGGCAGTGTTAAAATATTAAGTTGTTGGAAATATGATTTGCATGATATTCTTCTATTAAGACCAAGAATTAATCTCAAAACTCTTTTTTGTAAAA